AAAATTACACCTTTTCTAAAATTCGATGTATAAACTGCGACAAAACCGATAAGATACATTATACAAACTGCGACAATCCATTATATATTTAAAATATATATATTATTTATTTATCATATTTATATGTACCTATAGATACTATGTACATGCCGATACGATAACATATTTAGGTATACACATGCATGTTAAATAGAGTTAACAATATTATTATAGTATTATTAATTAATGATATCAATTTTTAATTTTTTTGAATCTATTAAAAACAATATGTGCATGTTACAAGATATCAAACGATGTACAAACGTTATCGATCAGGAAGGTAAGTCACAGATCAAATGCGTACCTATAGGTGGATAGCTATACCATAACTAAGATATTAGTCCTCAATACTAAATATTAATAGATATTATATACACTATATCTAATTAAATGATTAACGTATATGTGTTATCGTATCGACATATACATAGTATCCATATTTATATTATATATTATATAAAATGAATTTTCGCAGTTTGTACAATTTATTTTATCGGTTTTGTCTCAGATTGTACAATGTTAATTTTTTTTTTTTTTTTTTTTTGTCAAAGTTTACATATCGACTTTTAGAAAAAGTTTAATTTTGTCGCAGTATACTATCTTTTACCGTTGTATTTGTAAAAACGTTTTTTCGGATTAATTTTATCACAGAGTAGGTATCTCACGAGTTACAAGTGTTGTGGCCTTGTAAATCTTAATACAGAATATCAAATTAATATCTTAGACATTCCATGACAAAATGTACTTATACCTTTTAAGTTTTTAATATTAATAAAGGACCACTCACATTGTACGAGAGGTGTTTTCCCGGGGCATCGCCGTCGCTGCCATGGTGGATGTTGTGGCACTGATATTATTATAATGTTTGACAGCGACTGATTTAGTGGTTCGTAGGATTTGTTTGTTAATTACTCGTCAGTCAGTCGTCGATGTGGTCCAATGGTAATGAGGCGTAAGGTAATATTATCGACGTAAAAATAAACATCAAATTAAGTATAAACAATTGGCCCAATCTATAAATAACATTTATAGATGATAAAAAATAATTATTATTATTGCCTGCTAGACAGTATACTATAATATTATTCAGTACACAATACGTATTCATGTAATCTCTGATAAATGATAATATTAAGAACTCGTATTGTTATTCGTCAACGGGCTACGAAATATCATAACTATTTTATATTATAAAACGTGAGAGACTTGCGCCGTTGTCTGCCAGTGCTATTTTTCACTATTTACGAAAGATGAATTATCGAAAAAAATTCGATAGTTATAATATATATATATTTTATATTTTTTTGATTAGAATTAAAACTTCAATTACAGAGATAATTAACCTGTCATGAGATTATGGGATGTTACAGTGAAAGGGAGTACATATGTGAAAGGATTTATACTATTCAAGAGTTCATTATATAAAGTACATCAAACATTTTTATTTAGATCAATTAGTTTAAAAAAATTGAAGATGTTGGCGATATTAGGTTTGATTGGTGACTTCTCCTGGCGATGTTGAATTGTTGAGGAGGTGATGTGATGAAGAGCATTAAGAGCAGTGTATGACGATGTGTGTGATTATTATAGGAGTTTTACACATTTCGCACAATGGCTTAGGTTTTTTGGCACGGGTGGATGAGGTGTGTATGCCATATCCTGGCTTTATTTATAATTATTTATTTTCTCTTGTTTTCTCTTTGTTAAGTTGTTTGAATGAATCCATTTGGATGTAGTCTTTTTATAATTTTATTATTTGTTTAAAATATAATTGTTTATTGTTACGCATTTATCAATTTATGAATGTGAAAAACGATAATTATTTATTTTGCGTATAAAAATTGATATATTGATGACATATAATTACTTATTAGATAAGTAATAAATACTTATATGTATTGTTATAAATTGTTATTTGTAAATAAAAATAATATGTACGAGTATACATGACAAATTGATTTTTTTTACATTATTTTTACAAATAACTATCTATCTAATTATTAATTATATAATATTATTAAACTTAAAAGTATTTTTTTTTTTTAGAACTAGGTCGAAATAGTTTGGCACTTTAGTCTGCATCAAAATAAATTATTTTAAAAAAATAAAAAAATAGGTATGTAATTATTACTATAGGAAAATAAAAATATTAATAAAAAAACAATATCGATATAATATCATAATTTTATTGAACTTTATTTTATCCAAATTATTTAGAAAATCAAGATGAATAAAAAAGTGGTTATAAGCTTAAATTAACCAAATTAAATCATGAAAAATCGATTAAGTATATTTTTCAAATTTCAAGTGCAAATACAAGTATATAATATATAGATACTATATACTACTATTAGGTACATATAATAATAACAAAAAAAGAAAATTAGAATTGACAATTTGATAACATGCTAAACAAAAAGTGATACAACAGTACAGTTTAAGGATTATAGACTCACCAACGTAGTGACGTTTACAAGCACGAATTCAGTAGATATTTAATAAATGTTATTTAATCACTTATTTCTGAAATCCTAGAAACACAAAACAATTTCTTGAGTTGTTTTATTATGCAATATTTGGTCGGAATGTTCCAAAAGTTTTGTATGGGTACCTATAGCAAAACTGTAACTTATAGCTTATAAGTACCTAAGCCGTACAGGTAGCACTTATGTTGCTAATTACCATAGAAAATAATAATTAACAAATCACCATATTTCAAAATTTTCTAATACTAAAATAAAAACATTTTATTCTACTTAAGTAATATCTATAGTTTAGGAAGGGGCTGCAGTCTACTAGCCCCCCTCTAACATACATCACTAGTATAGTAGGTGTTAAGTATACCTCGTCATCGAGTAAGCTACTGTAATGTATTTGTTAAACTAGAATTTAATGATCAAAAATTATATAATATTATGAAAAATAACTTTGAGTGAAAACAATCTGTAGGCCTATACATTACTAAGAATATTTAATGATATATTTATGTTACTATTATATGGTTATTTATTTTACTATTTGTATTACAGTAAGGTAAATTGGTTTTTATCGAAAAACTTGCTTTTAATACATTATTATTAATATTTAATTTTTATAATGATATACATTATATTTTGTATCATATTATATCATTGTTATTATTTTTGGAGTCAATACCAGTGGTATGAATAGATTCGTGATTCCAGTACAATAATAAAATTAATCAAAATAGTTTTTAATTATCAATTCAATCAGTTTAATTCTCTTCAACCTAATAATCTTAAAAATACAAGCAGTGAAGATCTAGATTTAATTATTTAAACGTAAAATATTTAATGAAAAAATATCAAAATTTTTTAATTTAATTAAAACAGTTACCAAGAATTTTGTTAATATTTACTTCATCGATGAAAACGATGAGAGTAGTGTATAGATATGACTGATTAATTTGTTACTACTCTCGAGGGGTATAAAAATAGACCCAAATCCCCGGCAGTTTTAATGAAAAAAAAAATTAAAAACGATCATTTTGTAATTAGTTTGTACCGATTCATATCCTAAAATGCAATGTTTATAATATATAGAAAGCTATAAGAAGTAAAAAATCTCATAAGTTATGGTACTGGAGACATTAGATCAAGAACATGTCTTTTGAAATGTAAGAAAATTAAAAATTAGGTATATAATATTTTTCAATGCGTTTTTCAATAGTCGCAGTGATGAATTATGTTACCGTAAAACCAATAAGTAATACAAAAAAATCGTTGATGTGAAGACATGTTATTATTCAAGATGAAAAATCACATAATTACACATTTTTCGATCCACCCAGAAATGTATTACTAAATTGCCTATTTGAAGCGCCGTTCTAAATGTTTATGTTGTCGGGTTGTAATGTTTATACAATGTGTATAAGTTACTATTCATAAACCTTATACTTATATTATTAAGGTAAATAGTTCATAACTTACGGTTAATACGACTTAAGTCGTTAATTATTATTGTATATTATTTTAAATAGCATAAAAATCGATGAGAATTAGAGAGAAATCAATATTAAAAACAAAATTTTAAAATAAAGCAGTTGGTTGTATACAAGAATCATAATAAAACTATATTGTGTCGATTTTAGTATTGTATAAAAATCACACATTTTTATGAATAACTATAGCAAACCATCAAATACACATATATAAGTAATACTATTCCAAGGATAAAAAATTACTCTTCATGTAAGTTACATTATTCACCAACTACAATGATTGTTTAATATTAAAACAATACCATTTCATTCAACAGATATAATATAATTTTTATACATAGTTAACATTATCAAATTTAAACACACATTTATACTTTTAAATATTTATTCAGGTACATGCTTAAAAGTATTATATTACTACAAAGAAATAATATTAGGTTAACAAAATGAAAGTTTTATTTAAATATAGTTACTAAGATATTAAATATAATACAATACAGCATTTCAATTAAAATTCAGTTACTAAAATTATGATTCAAGATTATAAATACGTTAATCAATAGTAACTATATATTTATATTACAATAATATTTAACTAACATAATGATTTACAGTGACAATATTGTTAACTATGACTAAAAAAAAATATAATAACGTTCAAACTCATGAAAATATAAAGTAAATTCAATAAAATAACTAATCTTAAGTTAAATTATATATTTTTAAATTATTATTATCTTATTCGAAAATTTTAGCATGGACGTATGATTCGATTCAATTCGAACTATAAGGAAATAATTGTTGTTTTATTAACACAAACATATAGGCAACAAATATAACATCTACGTACATAGTCTGAAATTAAAACTATGACTAGAGAAACATTTTCATACAAATTTGTAATGGTACACAAAATAGAATTTCAATTATTCTTTGAAAATGTATAAATTATATATATATATAAATATAATATATAAATTTCAATCACGTATTTATCGTATTTTAAAAATAAAATTTCTTATTAAATGACTGAAATTCAATTGAAAAATCATTTCACGTTTAAAATTATTTCCACTGCTATAGAATTTCAACAATTTCAACATTAATTATCAATTCAACAAATCAAATATATGTGTTATTAATATTTCAATATTAAAGTCGATTGGCATAATATAATATAGTTACACTGTCCCTCGCGTATCACATTCGTGATAATGTTCTCAGCTGTTTGAATAAACACTTCGAAATAAACACAATTCTTACAAATCAGTATCTAAAAAATTTGAAAAAAAAATCATTACAATTAAAATAAATGTGTATTGATTAAAAGTAAAATAAATAACAAAAATTTTTTTTTTTAAACATATCAATTTATAATATATATATATTACCTATACTATTATATACAATTGCAAGGAGTTTTCTATGACCGCGCTAACCAAGGAAACTACTTAACCGATTTGGCTGAAATTTTTTACTGGTATAACTGATAGTCTAAGTTGAAGCTTTTAGTATAATTTTTGTTCATAAAAAAAATTTAGTATAGTATTTAAATTTTCCAATTTTCTGATGACACTATTTAACATTTTTTTCAAAAGGTTATACCAAGTACTAAATGCACTAGAAACATTTCAATACGTTTTCATTGACCATTTTTTATATTTACTTGCCGATCACATTATTAAACGATAAAATTTGAATAAAATATATCATCGTCTGAAGGCAAAATAAACAACCAATCACGGGTGAAGTCGTGACAGGTCGGCTAGTTATAAAATAAAACCAAAGGAGTATTTAATTACGAATTACTTAAAAATTAAAAATACTTTGATTTAAAATATATTAAAATAATTACACACGAATCTTAATCATTTTTAAAATATACAGAAAAATAAATGAGATTAAATAAAAACAATTGTGTACTGATAATATGAGTTATATTAGCACACTCAATAAATGATCCAATGTATGAAAACATTCATTATACTAAAATATTTTAATTAAAAAATGCAAATTTACTGCAGCAAATTATTGTTAATTATATATTACTCACCACCACCATCATTCTCAGAAGTCGGTACCGGATCATTCCACCACTGAATGGATGCCGAGGCCAATACCAAATATATAGAGTTTGCTACGATTACTACACCACCACTAATCCAGAACACATTACGCCATTCCAATAGAGTATTCTATAAATAATATTTGTAAACTGTAGTAAAAAATGATTAATATAAAAAAAAACCCTGTATTGTAAATTACATTTGGTATTAAATATCCGATGAGGGGAGGCGAAACGATTCCAGCAACAGCTCCAACTCCGTTTACCATGGCCATTGCAGGACCAGCATAATTCGGACTTAAATCCATAACGTTAACTTTCATACTTGAATAAAAGAAGCCCATAGTGGCCATACCAATGGTAAATAGAACGACTACTTTTATCTTATCGCATCCGGCATATGATGCTGCTAATGTGCCCAACATAGGTCCAATACAAGCTAAAAATTTTCAAATCTTTTTAGGACCATAACAAATGGATTAAAAATAGTCAATTAAAAGGAATATCGGAAACTGTTTAAATTGATTTTATTAAATAATAAATATTAAAGAAATAAAGTATAAATTTGAAAATTACAAATATTTCACACACGTCAGTCGATAAGAGTACTGCGTGTAGAATTTTACACTATTTTAAAGTTTACTCGTGAATTCGTATGTCCATTATAGCAACATAAACAAAACTCTATACGTTATTTAAATAATGAACATACCTTACTTCATAATATACACTGAAAGTAAAAAAATAATAATTTATCATCTCTAACCAAAGTACAACTTAAAGGATATGTGCAAAAGTTATTAATAACTAATTAATAGTTATTGTATGTCAGATATAAAGTCATGTCTCGTGTAAAATCAATAAATAACAAATTAACTCAAAATTTAATATAAAATACCTACATTTTTCTAATACATGGAATCGAGTTGATTTCTAATCATGATTTCAACTATATCTAGTTAGTAGAGTTCAGATTGAATTTATTTTTTTAAATCTCCATTTATAAAATACGACTTTCTTGTACTAAATATAATTTAAATAGGTATAACTATCACATTTATTTAATATTTGAAATTCTAATATAGTAAAAAAAAAACGTAGCTGTAATAAATAGAAATATTATAATACCTATGGTCGAAAATAATCTTCTCTGTTGTAATATTCCCAGTTTTCCGTTAGATATCAAATAGTCACTTAACCATCCTGTTAATATGGCAAAAACCCACATCAAAACATGCGGCATTGAACTCCATACACCGGTCTAAAAAAAATTAAATATATTATATTGTTTAATTACTATTCGCATAAAATTTAATATTATAAAATATACATAATGATATCTGATCTATGCATAAGAAAATTATCTATATGACAAACTAAAGAATTCACAACAATTTACTCATTATAAGTAAGTATTATCTTATTTATGCAGTCGTATAACATAAAAATACAATAAATTTAAAATTATCATTAAAATTGTATCATAGTTATTATATTTATTTGGCTGGCTCACTTCTGCAATAGAAAATTTCATGACACTCTTCATGTACTTCGGTAAATCAGCATTTATCATAAATAGAGCCCAGTCATGAGCAATTTGACCTATCATTAAGCCCCACATCGGACCTGATGACAACATTGACAACCATGGTGTAGATTTTAATGTATTCTGAAAAAATATAAATATAAGTTTAGAACCCGTACATTCTAATATAACTGTAACAATGGGTATTAAAAATGAACATTTACCTTATTTTTATTTACTCCTTTTAAGTGACGTTCTAAATATGTAAGTTCGTAATCGGTTATTGTGGGGTGTTCGTTCGGCGAACTGTATACCAAGAAGTTCCAAAAAACATACCAAATCAACGCTATAACACCACAAATATAGAACACCAATGGCCAATTGTCATCGGTAATCTTAAGTAAATACCCAGCGGAACTTTGAGCTACAATCGTTCCAATCATATTTCCTGATAATAACAGTTAAATTTTTAACTTCTGACCGATTAATAATATGTAATATATTCAATTAATATTTACCTGCAAATACAAATGATCCTATACGCGATCGTTCATTGATAGGTACCCACTGAGCCAACAAAGTATTCATTGCTGGAATAGTAGGGCCCTGTTAAAAACACATTCATTTATCATATCTACTAAGTTTCGTAAAGAATTATCACGTTTTATTGTTTATGCTTTTAGTACAAAATAAATCTATTTATCAAATATTAATTCCAAATGTGAAATAATTACATAAAACTAAAAAGTTGAATAAATTATTTATTTTTTAACATATATGTATTTAATGTATTGCACTTGATTACTTGTCCTTTTAAAGTGACCTATGAAAAATTCAATGAGTTTCAATACTTTAATATATACCTGAGTACAAAAAATTACTGATGACGGGAAATTGGAGTGCGAGTAGTAATAGTTAAAAGGACGTCTTTCGCGTTATTAACATTTTTAAGCCAAAAATACAATTGATAAGACAATAGCTAGACTATACACGACAATAGTAAGAGATACCACTGGAGACCTATGGATAAGAATCATAAACAATTCTGAGACAACAAGACTTAGCGCGTTTGAAAATAAAATTTGATTGATTATCTGTGGGTCAAAGTTAGATGTAAACACTGATAAGTAGAGAAGAAAGTTCAAAAAGAAACTGTTAGAGGAAACAAAAATACCCCCAGTTAAGGACCCATGACTCGAGCATATATTGCCTGAAAATTACAATACCATAATAAAAGCAGTATTATTCTCGAAACCAGCAGGAAAGATGCCAAGAGAATGATCAAAAAAAGGTGGTTAGATGTGGTCAAGAAAAACTTGTGAAGGGTAGAAGTGAAAAATTAGAAAAATATAATTCATAATTTAAAAAAATGGAGTAAATTTATGATAGTGGCAAAAACTTTCAAAGATTAGTTAAAACCAACGTTACATAAATAGATAAACTAATTTTGCATAAAAAGGCCGCAAATCGTATAAAATAATTGTTAAAATATGAAATCATATATTATTGTTATTAACTTATAACTTATAACTTATAAGCCAACACTTCCTATCAAAAACACAAAGAATAATATAAAACTGATAAAAATAATTTAAAATAAGTTTACAGTAAATACGTAATAGTGGAATACTTTAAGATTTTAAGTTGATTAGTTTTTAAATTATAACATGAATCGTTTGAGGAAAAATCATTATTTTACGTTTAACTAACTAATGTTATCAATAAATTGTAACTATATAAATTTTGATATTTTTTATTTGTGGTTAGAAAAATGTATAAGAAATTTATAATACATTAATTAATAATTTTTTTAACCTTAATGACTTAGACGAAAATAGTATCAACATAAATCGAAAAAACTACTGTGTTCTATGCTATTTTAATTTCATATAAACTAATAAAATTTAATTTAATCAATGATACGGTTTCCGGTGTTTCATTCTTATACCATAAATTAATTTAAATAATGTATGATACCTATACAAAAATGTTCGAATGATAATAAATAACACTTTATTTATGATGTAATTGATTAATAAGAAATTATACTTTATATAACTGCATAATTAGTTTTTGAACACATTAAACGAAAAATAATTTATGTATTACAAACACAGTAATATATTATAATGCTATTTTACTGCATAGGTTTAAAATTATTTAAAGTTTAAGTATTTTGTCGAATTTCTACATACAATAAAATACTTAATTTTCAATACCAAATTTTCTAACTAATTTTTAGTAGTATTTTACTCAAGCTATTGTTAGAACAGTGTTTTACATTTTTGAAAAAACTTTAATTTTAGAACACAATTTGTTCAAGGTTTCCCGAGTGAATCATAGAAAAAAACTGATTACTAAATCAGTTAAGAAAACAACAAATTCCACAATTTACTGAAATATTTATGCTTTAAAAATAATATTTTAAAAATTAAATAAACTTTTATACCTGAATAAATAATTTAATATAAGTTTATTTAAAAAAAAACACTTATCTAGTTTTTTTATGTATAACAATAAAAAGGAATTAAAATTTATATAAATAAATTAATGTCCTGTAAATTAAATTTGTTCTGAAACATATTAATTATGAGAATCCATTACGTATAAAAATCCTATTGATAAAAATATATTTTAAAATTTAACGATATAATTAATTAAATCAAAATAATAAGCTCATTAAAACAATAATTTTTTTTCAACTTATCACATAGGCATACGACACCATGACCTCTTAAATTTAAAAACAATTATTTAATGAATCGTACCTATTAAGTAATTTTATTTACCTCATACTACATATTGAATAATCAATTGCTTATTATTGTTTCGTAAACTCAATTTACTGTTTCCGGATAAAATATGTAATAGTTATAATTATTATTGTTTTGAATCTTTATAAAGATGCGTATAAGTATCTACTTGTATTAAAATGAGAAACGAATGAAATCCAAATTCGTGATAGTATTTTATATTTTGGTGAGATAAAGAGACAATTATTCTAACCATCAATAACTTCAAATATTCTATTTTACTATTTTGGTTGAATCTCAAATGTATCTATACTTAGACAACAAGTACTTCTAAAATTTTGCACTCAAATTAGTTATAAGCTGGGATTCGTTTTATACTCTTAATTGTTGGATTACTTTTTTTGAATTAAATTCGATTCATTCAGTGTCAAAATACAGGTATTTAAATGTTAAACACCCCAACTGCTTGATAATACTATCTTATTCAAAATAATTTTTAAATAATTTCTTTAAAAATTAATATGGATACTAGTTAAGTGGTAATTCAAAGAATATTCTGGAACTTTGGGCAAACATTTCTTATTTTTTTAATCGAAATTTAAATTAAAAAAAAAAAAAATTGGACAATAGCTATCCATGCAAATGTAAAGTATTTTATATATTTAAATTTATTTTATTATATCATAATGAGAAATACTAAGTTTAATTGAATGACTTATCAAAATGTATTTGATTGCATGATCAAACCACCTGTCAAAGTGATTGAAACATTCAAACATATCATATGAAAACAAATAAAATTATACTATTTTGCTTTTATAAACACTGTTAACACTATTTACACGTTTTTAATAATTTATAACTAGACGTAAATTTTAGATTAGTAGGTGAATTTTCATAATTATTTTTTTTTTAAGTATAATGCAGTTTGATAGAAATAAGTAATGTTGATGATTTGTTTAGCAAAATATAATGCTTAAAAGTGTATAGCACATACGAGAAATAAGTAAAATATTAACCGAAGTATTTACAATGTATAACTTATCATTAAGTTTTATAATAATCTTGATCATTTTTATTTATATTATAACATAGATTAATTAGGTTCAAAAATGTTTACATAACAGTATTACACACACACACAGATTATATATTAAGTAACTACTATAATTATCAATACTTGTCAATTAGTGTTTTAAAATTTAACAAAAGCTTAATCTTAAATATAATTAAAATACTTAATATTACCTTAAATATTATAACTATTATTATAAATATAATTTATTTACTACCACTGTTTTCATATTATTATCGAACAAATTAATTTTAGAGTTGATTCTATTTATTAGTACAGTGTTATAATTATGATATTTTAAATTGAAAAGGTTATCATTTTTTCAGTATTTACTTTATAATAATAACGATTATAATATAGTACCAATAATAACCCATATTTTTATTTGTATTTCTTAAATAGATTATATTTTCCATGTGCATTTATATACAATTATTTTATACGTATCTTATCACTGCTCAGGAGTTTATTTAAAAAAATTAAATTAAACTATTTTATTCTACAATACACTAATTTGAAATATTGAAATTTAAATATATTGCCAAGGCAATAAGCTTATTTTCATATAAATTATACAATAATATATAAATATAAATTTATTTATAATGAAATATGTTTATTTACTGAAAATTATAATAAATTTCACGTTAAGGGACAGTTTTTTTTGTTTCATTGAACTACAAGCGTGTCAACTCCGTAACAGAAGTCATAACCAAAACATTGCATTAAATTACAACGCACTCTAAATTATTCTTTCAAACACAAAAATGTAATAAGAATAATTTGTCTTAAATGCTTAACAACACTTACTTCACCAATACCTTCAAGTACTCTGACACCAATCATGTACCCGGGACCAATCCTGGCGGCAAGTGGTGTCAATATTGTAAGCACGGCGGTCAGGAAAATACCGAAACCAAACACATGTTTTCCACCATATTTCTGTGCCAGTATACCACCTGGTATCTGAGCAATTACATATCCATAATAGAAAGCACCAAGTATATGCCCTTGAAGTGTTTCAGACCAATCAAATTCAGCGTTCTGCAAAAGAACGCACAAAAATAATATTAGAACAAAAGACTTCTAAATTATTTTTAAAAAATCAAAGAAGTAATCAATTTAATATATTAGACTACTAAAGACCCTTGTATGTAATGTTATATTATTATTTTTTTTTTTTATTTATTTATTATATTATGTTCTCTATTCATATTATCGTCTCAAAGTACATTTAACTGCATAACGAACGTTTCATTTTACACCTGAATGTTAATTAATGTTCAAACATTATTTACCGGATATTTTTTTTATAAATTCTATTAAATCAAAGTCGATGTAGCTGACTAACACTAATTCATTCGCACAAATATTATTGGTACCTATGTTTTTCACAGATAACAAATTTTATAACTTATATATTAACGGTGTTGAATTAATGACTTCCAATATAGTTTGTTCTTTAGGCATTAACATTAGACATTTTAATATACTGAAATATTCATACTCATTATTTAGCCGGTTTTATTATTATAATATGTGTTTATGTTTTAACTTATGTATACATTTTTTTATAAGTTTAATAAAATTTTAAATCAAGATATATTTACAATTAGTTGTTTAAAACGAAAATGTTGAAATGACTCAAATGTGTACATACAACATTGACATACAACATTTACTTTCACCGAGTTGAAAAAATCGAAGTCCAATATCATATAAATTTTTATCTGACTCAATTTTTTTTACATTTTGTTAGCGACTATTGTTTATTTATAGTTTTTTTATAACACAATTTTAAAACGAATTAAATTAACATACTGGATTTGTCGTATTTGTATTTTTTATCGGTCCTGGGCACCCATTAGGGTCTATAGCTGTTTTATGAATGTCTTCTACCATTTCAGTTATAGCTACACTTAGTACTGATCGCATAGCATATGCATTAGCAATGCCTATGAATCCCATGACGGCTATTATATATCGCTTTGAACAAGCACCTATTAAATAAAAAATTATTTGTATTATTATTAATAATAATATAATATTTCAATCGAAAACCATTCATGCAATAAAATATAATTGCTACATATTTATAAATAATATTTATACAACAACTAACTGTCTATGATCGATCTCGATTCTGAAGGCCTCCTATTTTTTGATTCCATGGTTGAAATTTTGGTTTCTGAAAAATGTATATACATTTAATATAAATCTAAAATAATTAAAAAAATTTTTCTTACCCACTAGTTCACTAAAAAATATACGGAATCATACAATTGTGCTTTATTCAGACAAAACTATAAATAGGTATAACCAGTCGTCTAAAAAATAAAATAAAATGTAAAATCAGATTATTGCTACCTATTGAGAGAAATGTTGAAGTTTTAAATGCAAGTAAAAGTATAGTTGAACGACGACTAATGAATTGAATTAATATGCAGCGTGTATATATTATGCAGATAATGATGTACCCACAGCATCAGCATAGTAACAGCAAACATAGTTAAATAGTATAAAAAACCGTCTTCAGTAACTAGAAATCTATTTGTCGACCTTATCGTTTTAAACAATGACAATCGTAGGTCATATATGACAAAATTTGCATTTAGTACTTGTGACAGTAAAATATAAAAAAGAATTTATAATAATGAACATTATTACCTATTACTATCTTAGCATAAGGCTAAACCTAAATAAATTCTAAAGTTCCAGTCACCCATAAGTATAGCGGTCTTCTCTTTCTCTTTAATTTACTTATCATGTTTTCATTTTATAATAAATTGTATAAAACTAAAAAAATGTTCGTAGATACGCCAATTTAATCACCTGCGTGGTGATACACCTATTGATATAAATTCCTGACAAAAATAATATCGTTATCATTATGGATCACACTAGATTCGGGTATTAGGCGAGTGTAATTTAATGATATCTTATATATTTGTACATTATGAAATTACAAGATATTAAATTCTATATAAAATAAGATTATATACAACTAGATAACTCATCTCGAGGAGCTAAATTTTTTTCCTTTTAAAATGATTATTTTATTGAAGTTTAAATTTTGGATTCTCTAAAATCAAAACTCTTTTTTAGTTAAAACTAAGATAAAAATACTGTAAATGGTAAATTCGTGATGAATGTTCATTTTAAATTTCTCATTTGTTCAATAAATATAGATATTAAGTAATTATTCATATCTTTATCGGGCAAATCTTTGTAACTGGATAATTATTTTAGAGTATATTTAATATAAACAAAAAACAAATGAGTATAAATATGTTCACGTCTCACGGTTTAACGTAATATTTATCAGTTTTCTTAAAAAAGTTTACAATACTGTTAATTTTGCGATAAACAAATAAATCTAAGATTAACTTTATTTCACAAAAATATGTATATAGGTACCTAAACTAAATATGATAGACATTGTTAAATTAAGTTACTTTTCTTAGTTCTCAAAAATAGATAAAAAATAAGCATTATTTTCAATGTATGATATGAGACAAAAATCTTTATAGTTGATTTGCAGATTTTATACTAAAAAAAAAAAAAATAATAAGATAATACATTTTTATTTACTCTATGAATAAGATAAAGCATCATTATATAACTTAAATTATAAAATTGAATTCAACCTGTTGCTTAATTAAAACAAATAGATTAACACATATTTTTGATAAAAAATATGAAGTGTTGGGTTTAATATTTAATGTTTGACATTTTAACTCAAGATTAATTATATTGTATTTTAAAATTGTTTGCTTAAATCTCGAAAGTGATTACTCACAAACTATTATAAAATGTTAAAATTAATAAAACAAACTAATATTTATTATAGACTATACTCTGTTTTTATATTTTCAAAATAATTTATCATTGCTTTTACTTTTTAAATTATAAAAGTTCTATAATAACACAACATTATAGAGACTTGCGCTGACGTGTACATATTGGATATATAACATATAGGAACGAATAAAACGAATGTTCAACAAATATATATAATATATATATATATATATATATATAATATATATCATATCAAACCTCATAAAAAGGTATAAGCAAACATCATTGTAGTACAAAATTTTATACAAATAATTAAATTTGTATTAAGAAGCCAAAAAAAAAAAAATAAATAAATAAGAAGAAATTTTAAAAGCCTATACCTAAGTGGTTACGACAGTGATAGCGATAGAATTTTCGAAAACTATAAAATTCTATTACACGTATAAAAGTAAAAACTAAATAAGTAGTCTGTCGACATTTAAAACCTCAATTTATGTAAATTTACCTAAATATTTATACATAACGTTATATGCGTATTATACTCAAATTTTTCACAATAGCTTTACCTACAGCAATGAAATGAACCTCCTTAAGTTTGACTTATCATTAAGTGTTTAAATAATACTTCAGTTCTAATTTATTAAAATTATAATAGATTGAAGGAATGTGTTTAAAAATGTATTATATGTCTGATATTGTAAAGTATGTTTATTTACATAATAATAACCCTTTTGAATTATTTTGTAAAATAATTTCCGGGTAAATTGACAAGATTGTTCTTCATGAATAAGTCATTGCTTGTCACAATTTCACACCTTACACGGTTCGTTCTTCAACTTACAATTTTGAAATTTTTTACGCACGTGATTACACACAACATAATATTTGTACGGTATCGTGCAAGCTTTAACGATTTGCATTGTTTAAAGCTTATAAAAGCTAAATTTACTAAAAGATTACAAGCTGTTATGTGCTTAAATTAACAAATATAGAATATCAATCCATGTTAAGTCATAATTTACTCATAGTACTAACATTTGATTACAACAATTACCTATAATTTTGTTTTTGATATTATAGTAGTAGTAAATTGTTTTCATTTCATTAAAATAGTCATCCCTTGTAAAATTTACATCGTCAATTTTAATTAAAGCCATTTCGTTCATTATGTTTTGTTTAAGAACTAAATGAACCTAAACAAAGATGTCATATTTCACCTAGCCAATTTTCAGCATTTTTAGGCCAGCCGTAGAATATTTAATACTTTTTTGATTTACTTTTATACGATTTATCTATTTATTTTTATGATCTAAAAACCTTATTCAAACTAATATATATTAGCAATATGCATATAATATTAATCTGACCGCATTCAAAATATCTCATTATGTAGGCATTTTTCATGAACTGATTTAAAAAATAATTTCAAACTTAATTATAAATTATGCAATAAATTAATGAGTCCTATTATTTTAATAATAAAAATACCTGAATATGTTGACCAAATACTTAAAAAAAAAAAAATTAATTCATGGTATAAGTATATAAACGTGTTTTGTATAAGCTAAAATGCCAGTGTAATTTTTAACTTGCTCCGAATTATTTATGATCTAGAAATTTTAAATTGTATATATATTTTATTCTTACTCTTATGGCTTATGGCTATAAGTAGTTAGATTAGCATTCTGTTCGTCTTTCATTCATGATAATTTATTATTATAATTTTGGGGTAGTGCTACCGGCTAAATATCGCCTTGACATGGTTTACCATTACGTGTATACTGATGTGGCTGCTTGTATTAGTCAATAACGACTATATTATAGTAGATTAAATGCAATAACTGCTCAATTATCCATTCATAAGGCGACCAGTAAGCATAATAGCAGTATAGTCTAATATATATGGTACATTTAAAAGGCGTGGGAAGGCGAAGATCAAAACAAATTTGAAACTACTCGTTATAAAAAGAGAAAAGAAAAAAATAACAGTGAACCTTATTCACGACATGATCTTCTACGATTATGGTATGACCACAGTTGCCATAATTCATATGAATAATATCTATTGACATTTCTCTTGATCGATATATTCTACAATATCTATAAAGGATTGCATATATATTTTTTTTTTTTTATGGTAAAAGTATCATTATGTTAAAATTACGAATTAAATAGTTATGTGAGTGAATTATAAATGAAATATAATAGTTGTTATTAAAATATACCTAGTATACATACAAATTTTAAATTCTGTTTTAAATATAATGTTTGTACAGTACACACGTTATAATAATAAATAATAATATTATATGATGTAGTTTCAGCCTATTCTGCTTAGATCGAAATATGCCGTATGTATACTTTATGATAGTTCTTATTAAATATCCAAAGGATATTATTAAATAAATATTTTTTTTCAGGACGTCATTCGCCCAAGTTAATGATATTAAACATATTTTTGTAATTTAATATATTTTATTTAATCGATATATTAATTTTTAATTTTTTTTTTTTTTTTAACATTAAACTTGCATATAAATATTAATCTAGGTAATTTAATTGTTTGCTTTTGACACCTACAACGAGTCTTTAAGGCCATTTTGTATCATGTTGATTAAAATTGTTCAAATTAAATTCGCAATAAATAAACACATTGATAAAAAAACAATAAGAAATAACTAACAGAAATTAATGTTTTTTAAAATAATAAAACATTCATCTATTTATAAATTGATTTGAAAACTCATATTTAAATCATAATTGATTTCCGAGATAATTATTATTATTATTATCTAAGCCCAATGCTATATTTATAAATTTTGTCTGTTACGCTAACAATTATAGTACTTAATATTATATACCATTATATAATAGATTCCTCCAAATCCTAATAATGTCACTTGTCAGTGTTATTTTTATATAATACGAATAATAATCGTTAACAGTCGGAGATTAAAGATATAGACGATAATCAAAAAAAATATTACAATGACAAACTGAATCCACTTGCTAATGTTAAGTCTACCTTTATCATGGCTCAAATAATTTTCTGATTCAAGGACATTATAATGATCCTGTCCTCCTTAATAAAAATTCGCTTACCGCATCCATTTATAAGAACTTAAGAATATTTATTAGTTATTACATTGATAGATGTCCAACAAAATAATTATGATTAACCTCAACCCAATTTGAATAGTAAAATATTAAATAATAAATATAAATATATATATACATACGTTTCACATTTTATTATATTTAGTATAACCGGTAGCTGTAAATAATAAGTTATTTAATTAAAAATACTTTAATACTATAAAACCTATAATACTATAGGCAAGTACTTATTTATTATGTCGTTTAATATGAATATAATAAAATGTATATTAGATCCGGTTTTTTAATACTATTTTTAATAAATGATGTATAATTTATAAGCTAGTTCAATACGTCTAAAAAGTTTCCAACAATTTTTATTTTTTATTCCCGTAAATTAATAGTCTTATATGTTTACAAATTAATATAGATTTATGGATTAAAATTAAAATTTTATCAACATATTGTCTGTATACACGGTTATAACTTATAACAAATATCAGAAAGAAAAATACTATATGTATAAAATATTTTTTTAACTTAATATATTTTTTTTATTTATCTATTTTTTAAATTACAAACAGTATCGTTTATTAACATTTTATATTATAATAATGATTGAACAATATCCTTATAAATGTTGTATATTTTAGATCTGTAATATAAACCTATTATATTATCTATGATAGTAGTTGATTGATGTATCTATGTGTAAATTGATGACTATACAATACTATGTAGTATGAGAATGTAATAATTTATAAATTCCTAAATGATAAGTAATCCCAGCTTACTTCAAAACGTGTCCCTACCATTGTATTTACATTATGTAGTACTTACAAGTTATATTATTAAAAAGTTGAAACTAAAATTTTAATTCATTTAAATTTAATATAGTATTGGTACAAACCAAGTACTTAATTACGAGATTACAAAAAGTTAATCAATATATTATTGTGAAATACAATTATAAATTACATCAAATCTCATATAATCTAGGTGTAGAATAATATGACGATATTTTTTACGCAACAAAGATGAATTAACATGTTTTAAATATATTGTCAAATTATAAATTTTTAGCCACTTCAACACGTAAAAAATGGTCAATAATCGTCTAAATAAAAAATTTAAAAATTAAAACTTTTGAGATTGATTAACTTGCTAAAATCACTACGATAAGTTTCATTCTAAACTTAGTAAAACATCATTCAAACTTTCATCTAATTTCATGCACTTTTTCTAATAACCGTCCTATTACTTCAAAATGATCTAGAGTCAAAATCTCTTAAATTAATATTTTTATTACATATTCTCTTCTAAAAAGTTATATCTGTAACGAATGGTTTTTGTTGTCATGTATACTTATTTATTTATTATTATTGTATATAATATTATCAATTAATTAATCATATTTACTTATTGTATTAAAAATATAAATAGTAATTTTTTCTAATTAAAAATAAGATGTAATTATACATTCATTTTTTTTTAGATATGGAGCTTAGTTAAAACATTATAGTTATGGGGTACATAAATTAAAAGTAAAATTTAAATTTCTAATCATTGACGATTTAAAAAAGTTATTAAAAATCGCTACTATAGAAATTAAAAAAACCTTAACTATTTTAAAGCATCTTTACCTAAAACAATCTTTTTTTGATAATATAATAATATAGAAATTAACAAGAACAATACATTCTTAGGTATATTTTAATAAACTAACAAGATTATGTAAGTGTCAATTTAGTTTCAATAAACTGATATACAAAATAAATTATTATTTTTTTTAATACTATTTAATTGAATCTAATTTTAAACTAATTAATGTAACTGTAAGCTATAAAATATTATCAAAATAAATACAACTGTATTATTGGTTAGTATAATTATTGAACTATTATCAAAATATTAATATTGTAACATAATAATTAATTCATAAAAATTTAAATATTTAATATTTGAATTGGTCATAAAAAATATTCCGATTACAAACAATTTATGTATGTATGTTTCATATTATATGTTTTTAACTTAAACTATAAATATATCTTTTCATACTATATTTTATAGAATTTAGTTTTGAAATCCAAAAATATAATATTGAGACGTTATGATTAAGGTAATTTTATATACATTTTCATTCCGAGCTAGCATAAAATATGTTGTATTGCGTGATGATTAAATAAACATCTTGGAGTCATATTAAAAGTTAATTAAATTGGTAATAATTATTATTACAATTAAATTATTACAATCTTGGAAAAAATATTAATTAATTATCTGTTATCAATTTTGTACATGTTTCTAATTTTTAAATGATTGATAAAATTAAACTTACCCAGCATTCAAGCAAAGCGTTCAGTCTGAGCAATGGGCACGTGACGACTGCAACAAAACCACTAAATAGAACTCTGAACTTGGTTTACTAGTTACTACACAGACGTGATGGCATCGGAATATGTAAAGAAATCGTTTCCACCACTTTTTCGTTGATTACTTTTCGATTAAAAACATATTAATTAAACAACAATAACGATAACAGTTGCATTTTACTGAATTAAGTTGCATGTTGTGATTATGTATGTATAATAATAAATTATTTAATACGTTTAATATATTTCATAAAATAATTAAATGTCTATATTATTAGTTAAGTACAAAATATATCAGTAAAATATACGATAACGTATCTATATTTAAAGTAACATATGTTTAACACTGGTGCATTAAAATGCATTATAGGAAATTATTCTGTGAAGACTTCTACTATAATGTTTTTAAAAATTTAAACACATAAAAAAAAAAAATGATTGGTAAATGTTGCTGTTATTTTTTTTTAACTTATGACCGAAAATAAAAGGTTTCAGAACAATTATAAATGTATAATATAATAATACCATATTTGAATTGCACATAAATAAATTTTATCATGATATAAATAATAATATTGGGACTTAACAATACCATAAACCATTATCAATGCATACAGTAGGTCTAATGCAGATACTCGTAGGTGATATAGGTGATGTCATAGGGTCATGACCATTATACTATATAGTGTCCATATTAGGACACTATGTCCAGCTTAATAATAAACATTTTTAATGTAACAAGACTAATCAATTATTTAATTCTTATTAATATTTATAGTTTACCTATTAATCTTAAATAATTATATTTTAAAGTTCTATTTATTTCAGTTAGTCAATTTGCATTAAATAATTTTAAAAATGTACTTGGTTTTTTTCGTTAGCTTGTATAAGATATGTTATATCATTAATATTATAAATAATGATTTATTTATCATTGTAATAAATGATATTATACAATTTGAATTATAGTACAATACTCGTATATTAAATTTTGTACAATAATATAACTACATAAATGATTATTATTAGAATGAACATTTTTCTCATAAAAAATATAATTTTTCCTAAAAAAAATTTTAATTTTCACTCAGTAACTGCAATTGATTTTTTAAATCTTGTAAAAAATACCAATATCCCTATACTAAAAATGAATATTTCTTAAATCAAGGGTTATAATTTTTTTTTTATGAAATAATTACTAAAATAAATAATTCAAATGTAGCAGAGGTCGAAACTTATTCAATTATTTCATTGTTTAATACAAACTACAAATTACTATATTTATAAATATTGAGGGATTAGAAATATAGGTAGGCCATATAGTATGCATAGATATAATAGAGGAATATCAGTAAAAAATCAACAATTAAAGTAGACTATATTAAATTCATTATCTGACAATTAATAGAGATGAATAATTATGAACACGACAAGGACTTATATTCGTGGTCTTTGTAAATTTCTAGCAATCTTGTATTAATATTAACTAAAAATTTTAATTATGAACCACGTTTAAGAAATTTTAAATCTCAAAAAAACTGGTCAAAATTATTGAAATAACATGTAACTTAAACTGTTCGAATTGAACACCACCTAATGTAAATTCTAGTTCTAATTGTATAATTAATAAATTAATAGATTCCACCCATTTTATGGGTATATTATCTTTTATACTTCAGCTCCATTAGATTTTTATTCTAATCATGCCTTGGTTCAAAAATTAAACAAAGTAACAAATATTACAGGGAAAATAATTTTCTAAGCCGCAAAATATACATCGTTATTAACAAACATACAATCAAGTACTTACTAGGGCTTACTACTTCACATATATCTTCATACACGGATAAACGTGCATTTATAAAATATGTGTAATAATATAAGTACGGTTTTCCGGATTTTTACGAATACACGTCATATATATTTTAATTGCACGGATACTTTAAAAATCATAGGTAAGTACTAGAAATTAACTTAATCGTAGTAATTATATAGGTAAACAAATAATGGCAATAAAATACAATATCAACAATAATAATAGCTAGTTTTTTTTTTTTTTTTTTACTGTAAATATTACTTTGGTTGTTGTTTTAGATAACATGATATAATGCATTTTAAATAATTAACAATTTAACAACAAAATGTGTTCTAAATTATATTATAAGTATGTATTAATTTTTAAATATAGGTAACGTAAGTTAATAAATAATTTAATCAATTAAATTTCTATTTTTATATAAAAAACTAACATGAAAATATTTTTTGTCGACATGCATTGATCCTGTACTTTCAACGGCACATTCAAATGTATTTAAATCGTCTACATCACACATTTTACAATAACCATTATCTTCTACACGTTCGGCATACTGATATACCTAACTTTTTGATTTTGACATATTAACAGATTTTATTTTAACTGTCAAAAATTATAAAAACAGTTGAAACCGATTCACACTTTGTAGCGAAAACTTTGAGAGTAATAACTGTCAACTGATTGGAAATTTTCAATTACGTTGTTGAATTTGACAGTATTATCATTAAACTATTAAGTATTATTAAGGTAAAACTTCTGTAAGGATTAATGTTCCCCGATAATACTAAACCGTAGAAATAAGTCGAACAAGTAACGAATAACAACGAACAAATTAATTATCGTAGTATAGATTAAAGATTAATAAAAATTATTTGTATAATATAAATTAAAATTTGTGTTTTCTAAATACACGCATATAATCAAGGAAAACCCGTGTAATTAGATTTACATATGATTTATAAATGAGTATCCGTGTAAACGTAAAGAAAACTTACGAGTAAATATACTGTTTTAAATACACGGGTTTCGAATGCATGGTTAACGGAATTCGTGTACACATGTACTTTTAATACCCATAAGAAATTTTAAGCCCTACTACTTACCTATCAATGACTACGCATATAATGAACAAATTAGAACTTAACGTAAGCACATATGATCCTTCGAATAAGTGAATGATGTCAATACCTTGACGTCATCATGCTGTGCAGTAGGTGTCGATAGTGTGCTTCGTAATTGAGTATAGGTTACTTCACATATATGCATAATGGAATTAATAAATTTTAATTTAATGATAAATCATTGCGCACAAAAAAAAGAAAAAAACGACTGGGTGGAGACGGTTTATCAGCCTATATTACTAAATATATTTTTTTAAGTATTTGTATTGCTATTATATTAATTTATTTTACTAATAGTAAATTTAATTTTTACTTTTATTTTTATTTTTTCCAAAATAATTGTATTTATCATAATATTAACTTTATAACAACAGTAAGTAAATTGTATACATTTAATATATTATAGTAATTTAATTTTGAATCACTCAAAATGTAGTCAATATCGACTTAATGTAGAATGAGTATAAATAGGTTCGTGGTAAAAATGTACATTTTTACCACGAATATAGATATAGATAGTAGTTTGAAATTAATCAAAATATTTTTAAAAAGTCATTGTGTAAGTAGAGAAAAATATATAATAATTTACGTTAAAGTCCCCGCGAATAATATTTTTGAATTATAACGAAACAACTAAAATCGTTATTCTTCATTTGAATATTTAATATCGTCAACATTTGAACATCAATATACAAACAACTATGGTAATATTTTTTCTTATAATTTTAAGTTTTAGTATAAAATACTTACACCTGCTGGCTACTAGGGAACTTGTAAGTTGTACATCCAATTAAATATAAAAGCAATAACTATAAAAACTAAACATATTAAAAAAATTTAACTATATACCAACAAAATAATTTTCAAATTTTCGTGATTTTAAATAATGTTGATGGATGTGTTAATTATGAATTCCTTACATAATTCTATACATAATTGTGTAGACAAAAAACGATTTTAAACTAACCAACCTTTTAGCTTATATTTACTAAATACATTTCAAGATATTTTTTAAATTCTGAACGGAAAAATGAATACATAAATTTTACAATGATATATGTTTTTGTGTCTGTGTACACAATAAGTAGCTATATTCGTTCGATTTTTAACTTTAAAAGTGGTTTTGAATAACTAATTGACTCTAATTTGTACTTTAAAGAGGTTCAAACTAAAATTTTTTAGTATTTTTTAAAATAATCGGTAAAAACAAGCAAATCATGATTACAATGATATCCAATTATGATAACAACTCTAAAGTGACAGAATATTTACCTATTCATGTAATCAAAACATTTTTACTGATCTTACATTAGTATGCATACAAGGAATTTATTATTATACATTCGTCAGTTGTCTTAAACTATTATTAAAACTAATATAGGTAGGTATTATTTTAATTATAAAAGTTTTTATATTTATCTATGATTTAATGTTTATATTGTGGTTAAAATTATTTTTCATGAAAATTTAAATTCATTAATATTTACTTATTACAATAGAAATTTTAATTTAAAAAAAATATATCATTAGTTTTTTTTATATTTTATTTTTTATTTGATGATTTATCTGCCACTAAAAAAAAATATTAAATAATTTACCTATTAAAATTTGGATTTTGATATATGTATGTAGGTATATATATTAGTTTATATAATTACAATAGTAGCAATTATATTTAATGAATCAATGTTTCTTTAAACGAAAACTTGACACGAAGACATTAAAAATGTATGCTTTTAATTAAAACATAATAATTGTATTTAAATGTATTTATTTTTACATTAATTTAACTAAAAATACTATATTGTTTACTTTTAGGCTATTTAAAAAAACATAAAAATGTATCAACTTGATTCAACTAAGAACAAGATTATAATAAGAATCGGGATGCAAAAATAATGACTCATTTGATAATGATAAATTGGCGGTATTGAAATGCTATAGAGATAATATTATATTATATTCTGATTGTCGAAACGCGTACATTAACTATGCCAGTTTAAAATTTGCCGTCTCCATTCAAGCAGCTATATCAAAACAAAATCAAACAATTTAGAAGTCCTTGCACTTGCAGAAGAATTGACAACAAATGTTAATAATAATGAATCACTAAAGAATAAGGAAGAAATAGTAAATT